GACAAGGACAAAGACTCTTCTTGTAGCAGAAAGGGGAGGGGGGAGGTGCGGAGACTCCAAGTCCCCCCACACTCGTCTGAGAAGCAATGAACTTCATATGGAGAAAGTCTGCAAGAAGCTATGTGCCACCACAGGCTAGCTTCCAAGTCAATTCATGAAAGAATCCATAGTGCTTACAGTGACTGGAAGTCACCTGAACTCTTAACTTTGTGGGTTTAAACAACACAGCTTGGTCCTGAGAAGAGTTATGGAAGACCATAAATACAATTTTGACACCAGGCCTAGATTCCAAAGGCTATTTCCTTGGGTAAGACCTCATCAGTTTATAAAGCTTTGGACTTACAGAGTGAATTAGAGTGAAAATCGGTACAAATAAAAGTATGATTTCTGCTGTTCTCTCTGCAATTTCACATATAAAAAGTTTAGAACTAAAACATTTTATAGGGCTGTTAGCATGGTAGCTTGCCATGCAAGTTAAGCCCAACAAGAATCGTACGCTTTTTGTCTTGCGGCTCAGCAGTGATGCAAGGATTTGCACTCCACGCTTCTGTAAGCAGCCGAGCGACTCTGAACTAGCACTGACATGCGGAGGCAGACAATGAGAACAGCCCCCAGGCGAGTTTCCATGGGGTGGATTGCGTAGCCCCAGTCAGGCCGTGGTTGTAACGCTCCCAAAAGCTCTCCCCTCACCCCATCTGTAACCAAGCAAGCAGTTCTGCACACGCAATTACAGTTAAAGCAAGTTTCTCACTCTCTCATTAGAAGAAATATTCAGGAATTAAGGCAAACACGGCCTCTTCTAAACAAACACAGTTTTAATTCACTGCTGAGTAACACTGCAAGTCATAACAGAAGCAGAAAAGGCAGAATAAGGCAGAACAAGCATTCTTCATGGAGCAGCATCTAGCCTTTGTGGGAGGAAGTAAATCAGACCTCTGGTAGCAATTACCATTTTTTACTGCAGTAAGCTTTATTTTTATTATGACCCTGCTGTTGCTAAGATAGTGCTCTCAAATTACCTTACATACATACTGTATTAAAGAACAACAGGTTGCCCAGTTTACAGGGCCAGATGGCTCTCCAAAGTTTAATATATCATTGGATTTATATATTTAAAAAAAACCACATTCACATTGTTCTACCAAGCCAGTAAATTACTTCTCTGGCCTCATGACACGCAATATGGGGATAAAAAGTTTATTTCCTTTTCTGTTTGCAACTGATGCCTTGGAAGTCTGAGCAAACCTGTTCTTTGGAGGTGTGGTGAGCACTGCTGAACAATGAGGGGGCCCTGCTGTGTCCAAGGTCAGCATCAAGGAACCCTGCTGGGCCAAAGACCTTTCCCCACCTAAAATTCAACTCATCCGTCAGTGATGGAAGCTAGAGTAGAAAGAGCAACAGGATTACAAGTACAAATCAGAAGTGAAGCTGGCTGAGTAAAAAGAGAGAATACCCTCTATAAATAGCCAATGCAACTCAACCAAGATGGGAAAGCAAAGTGTTTCAGTTTTGACACTAAGGCTGTTTTGAGTGCCACTAGATCACATCCAGTGTTAAATTATTCCTGGCACCATCATCGTCAGAAGGACTGACCTGGTTAAGGAGGATTGACCTGGTTAAGAATCAGTCTGAAGGAATTATCAAAAGACATTATGCACACCATTTTTAAACCAACAGTTAAGATGATGAGTATTTAAATCACAGATGTATAATTATGTATGTAAAAATTAAAAATAATTACGATTATTTAAACACCGATGAGGTAGCACCCTTGGGCAGCTTATGACAATGTCAGCCTAAGACTCTCGCTTTAGAAGTTCATCTTTCAGGCAGTGAAATCTCTTAAGGCCTTTCAAAATCGCCCATGTATTTGATGCTTCTCGGGTACTTTCAAAACTCACCAAGCAGTAGTTCTTAAGAGGGCCATCTTGAAGGTAAATTCCTTCTTGTTTATAGCAAATATTTATTACGAAAACACAGAACAGTTACTGTGTTTTCAAAATAAATATTTTGAATATATATTTGAAAATATAGGAGATGTATTTTCAGAAATCAAACATTTTGACATCTTTCAAAGTGTTAGGATAGGTTTAAAACAAATATTAGAAAGAATTTTTTAAGATCATGTTATTAAAACTATTAATAGGAAATCATGCTGTTATCCAAATTGGTCACTTATTCATGTGTATAAGAGATCATTCATGAGGTGCCCAACATTACAGAGAAACTAAACACCCCTTTAAAGCACTTTAAAAATGCTTTAAAAACTTGTGTTACAATGCACTGTCCATTAAAAAAAATCAACTAGTATTAGGGTTTTTCTTGAACCTTGATTTTATACTGTATTGTTCTAAAGATTATTGTAATTTACAACAGTTCATCATTAGTTTTCTTATCAAATAGGAAGTCAAGGATTCACACTGTGAAGCTTTGAACACTAATTCCAGTATTAGTACAATTTCTCTGCCCAAATTTTTTGCATTCCTTAATAATCTGCACAGACCATTTTGTATTGTTCAAATTCATACTTCTGGAAGACTTTCTCTCAAAGATGAATTCTTCACTGCAATGCTGAAGACAGCTTTCAGCTTTTTAATAGCATAGCATTGTTCATTAGTAATTTAAATATTTAAGAGCATTTGGGTATTCAGAAACAGTTTCAGAACCACCTGGTTAGAGGATAAACATAAGCTAGTTGGGCATTTCCACTTGGACCAGCTTCTAATGTTACTGAGTTAGATGTAATATACTATGCCCTGTACAACATTACTACAACAGTTTCCAAAATATTGTTTTAATTTTTTTTCCCCCCAAGACTATTTTTCTGTATTGATACTTTACAATTGTCTGGAATTTACTGGAAAAAACTTTTCCCTGAAAAACTGAAGGCAGCTTGATTGATCACAGTTGTCTCTTCCTGAGCATGTTTACTGCTGAGTACTGAGCGGGACACCCAAATAAATTTCCAACCAGATACTGGAAGGAAAAAATGCTGATAAGCTTGCATACATTGGAATTGTACCTAAATGCCTATACATTCTATATTAATTCCACTTTTGACGTTGGGGCTATACTCTGTTGTAAAAACAGTTTGAGACAACATACACTGAACTTCTTGTATGTACATTTTTAAACACTCGATCTTCAAAGCATATTTTTACTTAGGCCTTTCAGAAATTGCACAAGCAAAGCCTTTTTCTGAATGCAGCCACTTTTGAGAAGTAGCATCAGTAAGAAGTTCAGCAATTTGATTCAGAGAATTAAAATAACTGAATATCTTCCCTGCAATATAAAAGTCCTCAGAAAAGGCAGCTTCAAAAGAATTGAAGAGAGCAATTGGCTGCCAACCCTAACGGAAACAGTTGAAGCTGTATCTGCTTCAATAAAATGGTTAGAAAGTAAACACTTCCAACCCTCACTAGCACCACCACCTAGTTTTTAATTCAACATGATGCTAGCAAGAAACTACGCATGCTCTCCCCATCTCTTCTCCAGCTTCATGACCACATCCATTTTGCCATTAAAAGGAAAAACCATATCACAGTTGCGATCAATACAGACGCAAAGCTTGTTTGCCTTTGAGCAAACAAGAAGGTGAGAAATGCTAACGTGGACCAGGTGTACTTTGCACACTGCAGCCTTAGGTACAGAAACGCAGCCTGGCGCAAAGTAAGAGAAGCACTACTGAGAGTAACTAGATGGTCTAATTACTTCAGCTCACCTCATGAGGAATAACGGTTGGCATTTCACCACAATACCACATTGTGCAACCTGTATATAACTAGAATCAAGGAAAAAAGTCAAGCTGGTTTCATGTGGTCAATTTTATTATTACATACTAATAATACATAACACAGCTGTTATCCAAGTAAACCCTTGTGGGAAAAAACAGTACCATAATGCAAATTATGGAACAGAAGATCAGTGTAAAGTGTGGAGCAGCACAGCATATGATTAAAAAAATTAAAAAAATTAGTGCTGTGAAAACTCATCGTATTAGACTTCACTTAAAAAAAAAAAAAAAAAAAAATCTTAGGAGAGGCCTAAAGTTCACAAACTTCCCAAAACACAGAAAAAGCCATATGCATCACCCCAGTGAATCCATTAGGACTTAATTCTATGAAGACTTTTTGTAAATTCAATGTTTAAATCTTCTATATATTTCATATTCTTTACTGTAAGAGAGCACAGTAAGCTGATCTATTCTACGCACATATATTGCTCACTCTTTTGGGGCAAATTACAGTCACAGTTTCCTCTAGCTTTGAACAGCTATTTCAACCAATATATATACATATACGTGTAAACAAAATGTCTAAGTACAGGCTTAAAGCAATTTCATAGAAGTATCCCAATTCAGCTACTTGTGCTCTTTACTTCATAATCCAAAGTGCCAAATACAAGCAGCAAAAGTTTCCACTATTACAGTCTAAAATAAAAGTGATCCCATTTACCTGTGTCAATTTATAGAAATCATTTAAAGCCACAATTCCAATTAATTCAAAAGGGCTGACAACAAGAATAAGACATTTATAGTAACTGCACAGCTTACATGGCCAAAAAGTCTCAAAACTGATTTTTAAACTGTTATTAACAAGTAAAGGAATGTACACATGTTGACAATTTAACATATAACTCAAAAATAGACAACTACTGCACTGATCCAAGTTTGTTAATGCATAACCATATTTGAAAATATACAAAATCTGAAGTTATTACATGAAATTAAAATCCAGTTTTAAAAAGTGCACAGTAAAAACTGAAGGTAATTACTATATAAATTATCCACAGAGTGTCTATTTCCTGGTTTAGAGCCAACATTAAATTCCATCTTGTATGCTACAAGTTCTAAATATTTCAAAGCCATTTACAGCACCAAACCAGTTTTTACTAGACCAAATACCACCTGTTTCCTGCAACAAACAGGAATTGGAAAACGAACATTCACTAACTGCATCCTGTGCAGCAGCAGCTTCCGAAGCCAGTTGATTAGCTGTAAGCTATCGATTTTTGCTCTTTTTAGAATTTCCCTGCAACAAGAAACAAGCAAACAGAACATATAATTCCGATAAGAAAATCTATACAGACAACAAAACCCAACATCTGACAGTTTATGCCTACAGTGAACAAGAACAGCTCATCTGAAAACAAACAGTCCACAGGCTCTTAATAAAGGAAGACTGTAACTGCTTGCTCTGAAAATACCTCTATCTTTACAGGCATAACAGAGGAAAGTACCAGATATTTCAAATAAGCACAGCAGTACCCTACTTCAGTTGAAAACTGTGGAAAAAAGACATTTGAGTTATGTCCCAAGACATTTCATTGTATTAGCACCACTAATATTGTGTGGCAGTGAAGGCAAACCAAATCATAATTCACCCTTAAGTGACATTTCAAACATAAACCATATAGCATAATTACCTCAAATGAAAATCAACCCCCCACCCTGTCCTTTTGTTCCAAAACAAATTTAACCTTAACTTGGACAACGCAGGATATTCTTATTTAGAAAAGAATTTATTCTACGGCTAGCCAACTCAAATTTGACTTGCAACAATTCCATAAAGAAAATGTGTAACTTAAAATAAACGTGTGTAGTAGTTACGTGCTGGCAATTCTCCATCTTCCTATTTCCTTAACGTAACATTGATTTTAATCTAACCAGCAACTCTCTGCAAGTAATAATGGCTTTGATTCCATCGTTTTGATTTCAACCAAATCACCTTCTATGTTTGGTAGCATTTGAAAAATCTGTGTCTACTGTTGCAAGATTCTGAACTACCTTCTTATAGAGTACCACTTCAAGTCTTAAAAGTATGACAAGTGAAAAATTCCAGAAAACATTTTATGAAAACATGAGTTCTGTGGTCAGTATACAGCCAACAGCTTCCCTCTAGAACAGCAAAAAGTAATTTTAAATATTATGATACCAAATCAAAACACTCGGGCATCTGAGCAAAAACAGTTCTGTGCAGAGGGGGCAACAGTCTACCATATAAAAAAAAAAATCACTGCCATGGAAGCTTTAATGAAAACTTTTTTCTTAATCCTTCAGTGAGACGAGACCTCCTTCCATGCATTCCACAATTAAGGAGAATAATGCTAGCTAACTAGTTTCACAGCCAGACTAATGAAGGGTAAAGGCCTTCAAAACATCTGTTTCTCCCTAGAGCCATCAGAGTAAGATATACCAAGGTTTAAGCACTGACTGCTCAAGACAGCAGACTTCTATATCTTTCATGATTAAGAGAAGTCAAAAACTTGTTTCTGGTAAACAGATAGGCTGCTTGCTTGGGAAAGAATTTAAGTGTGCATTTTAAGTTCACAGATGAATGTAAGTGACACCTTTTTCATTCCTACGTGTAAGAGACACAAGCTAGAATATGGAAACAAAGCAGAGAAAAAGAATAGCTTCCAAGAACAGAGTTCGCTGCAACCAAATGAGGAGTGCAGGAAGGACACTCCTACCACCAATAAGTTAACTGTAATCACCTAGTATCACTAGTTGGATTTGCAAGTAGTTCCATTTTCACCAGACAGAAAAAAAAGAAGGTGGTGATCTTCCATCAGAGGGTACACTTTGAAAGCCTACTTTGAAGCAGTGGCATCAAGTGTTTTGTTCTTTCCCACAGGCATGTTTGGCAAGAATTTTTTGTTCACTGAAACATGCAGGACAAGGTTTGGAGTTTTCTTTCCAGTCAGCTGAGAATAAGAACTACAGCTCCTGAATTGGTTTGTTATAGGGTAGTACTGCAGGAATGAACAGATGTGACCCACAGACCTCCAAACTGCACCCAGTGCCCAATGTCAACACCTGGCCACTTACCTTACTAGTCATCTTTAGAGTATCAATTTCTTCCCTTTGTTTAGTTAAGGTTTCATTCATACTGCAGAGATGGTCACTCATCATACTTAACTGATCCTCATAACTTCTCTTTGTTGTCATCAATTCGTCCTAAAGGAGAAAAAAAAAATCCAGAAACCTTTATTCAGTATCAATGACAACTGGCAAAGTGGCCAGCTTCTACCTCGGCATAGTAAGCTACACTTTTGATGCTGAATGGGTGCAATCAAGCTAAACCATTGGAGAAAAAAAAACCAAAACAATCACTTGAAAGAAAGTCAATAGCTACTTTTCTTTTACCTGAAGTCTCATGCATGGTCTATCCCCCTTATTTTTGCTCTGTTTCTTTTATAATTTTTCCCCTGCTTTTTATGGCTTACATAAAAGACTAGCAGTTAAGTTTGCCAACACTGCTTCCAGCCAGGAAACAAGTAAAATGTATAGGGTTAGAAGATGGCCTACACATGAACATACACTGCATACAAAGCTGACGGAATCCACAATCCACATGCAGTTGCAGAGCCATGATCTCTCTGGGATCAGAGAGACACGGTGGGATTGTGTGCATGACCTGAATGCAGCAATGAAGGGATACAGACACTTAGGAAGAACAGGATAGGAAGCAGAGAAGTCATGCTCTATGTGAAGGAGTGGTCTGAAGACAATTCAGATCTTATAGGTAGATCAGAAGAGAACAAGGGTGTTACGTATGGTGGGTATCTGCTAGAAGTTGGTAAAAGTCTCACAACCCTAGACTCCGGTCCTCGTAACAGACTTTAACCACCCTGACATCTGGAAGGGCAACAAGGTGGACACAAGCAATTCAAGGAGTTCTCTTGAGCGTGCTAAAGAATTTCTTGACACCAATGATCAAAACGCCTAAGAGGCACTCTGCTGGACCTGTTACTCACAAATAAGGAAAAGCTGGTCAGGGATGTGAAAGCCAATGGTAGCCTTGGCTGCAGCAACCATGAGTTAGTGGAATTTAAGATCCTGAGGGAAGCAAGCAAGATGAATAGTAGCATTACAGCAGCCCTAGATTTAAGAAGAGTTGATTTTGGCTTTTTCAAGGTCTGCTTGGTACAATCCCAGGTAAAACTGCCTTGGAAGTTAAGGGAGCCCAGGAAAGCTGAATGCCCAGGGACAGAGCAAAGAACAGTCCAGTGCTTAGGACGCTGAGCAATGGTGGCAGAAGGCCAGCATGGCTGTACAGGAAACTCCCGATTCAACAGCTTGATCTGAACTCTCTCTGCTCTGACCAAAGGAGGAGACCAGATTACCTTCAGAGGACCCTTCCAACTTAAACAATTCTATGATTGAATATTATGCAGACTACTAAACATACAAATGGTGCACCTGCTGTCTTTTCTTTAAGAGTTCAATAAGGAATTGGAGATGAACATCTCACGCCAAGTTGGATATTGATTGTGGAATTTGTTAACGGAACAAATCAAAAGAGCACTTTGTTTTTGAACAATTCTTTGAAGTGTCTATCATTATATTCACTGCCTGTATGGAGCATTTTAGGTACTCACCATCTCAGACAGGCGAGCAATAAAGATACAAAATAAATATGAAAAAAACACAAAGGCATTTAAAAATTTAGTATTTATATATACTTTATTTTACTACTGCCTCCTTTCTCAGCTGTGTGGAGGGGAAGGACAAAGGGACAGGACACTCACAGGACATCTAGCAGAAGAGTTTATTACCTACTCTTTACAACAGTTTCTTAAAGATTATCCCAAAGTTATTTTTGGCTTAATATTATGCTATTCATCTCAAAAAAACTACCCTGGCATTTCTAAGACCCACGTGCTAGAAAGGATTCAGAATTCATCTAGGAAATTACACTTTCATCACTTTCCTAGTCCTGTTTCCAAGTTCAATGGACTGATGTGTAGTCAGCCTTGTCCGTATCACATCTAACTCTGTGAGGAGTAGATACAAGTGCTGGCTGTACACAAAGTAATCCTCCCCTCACAGAGGGAAACAAGCCACTGAAATCAGTCACACAACTACACTTTTTGACATTAAAAAACCACACCAAACACATTTTCATAAAAAGCCTTGACATCAAATGTGCTAAAACACAGGCTTGCCTACTATAACCTTCCCCTTGCTAGCATGTTCCACTTCAACTTTATATCTGGGATTTGAAGTGTATTATTTAAGTCTCTTCTCTACATAACATCAGAGTTTTTACTCTAAGGACCTAGTCAAGGCAAGACCATGCTTGATGGTCGTAATTTTTCTTCTCTAACTTCCCCTTACATACAATTATGAACTGCATCTGTTAAATTATATAACATTTCACTTGCCTGTAATCTGCTGATGTTTTGACTAGCTAGTTTCAACTCTTCCGTAAGCGATTCCTTGGACTTCTCTGCTAAAGACAGTCTTTTGGAAAGTGCTCGACACTGTCAATCAGAACAGGATAGGGAAGGTACAAGGGAGGAAAGTTAGTTCCAGAGTATTGCCTTGTGCCACTTTTAACTGATAGTTTTGGGTGTTTCCGTCTTTCTGTAACCATTACATTTCAAGAAACTTAGTCAGAGCTTGTACATGTTTTGAAATGCATTAATGCTCACATTACATTTGTTTCATTTTACAGAATTACCATATTACCAATCCTCTAAATATCACATTTTTTACATATTACTAGGAAACATTTAATACGTAAAAAGCAAACAACTCACTGTATCATCTACTACGATAAAAAGTTTACAGAATCACAGAACGTTTGAGGTTGGAAAGGACTTCTGTGGATCATCCAGTCCAAACCCTCTGCCGAAGCAGGGTCACCTACAGCAGGCTGCACAGGACCCCATCCAGGCGGGTCTTGAATATCTCCAGAGATGGAGACTCCATAACCTCCCTGGGCAGCCTGTGCCAGGGCTCCGTCACCCTCAGAGGGAAGAAGTTCTTCCTCATGTTCAGACGGAACTTCCTGTGCCTCAGTTTGTGCCCATTGCCCCTTGTCCTGTCACTGGGCACCACTGAAAAGAACTTGGCCCCATCCTCCTGACACCCACCCTTGAGATATTTATAGGCATTTATTAGGTCCCCTCTCAGCCTTCTCTTCTTCAGGCTGAACAAGCCCAGCTCCCTCAGCCTTTCCTTGTAGGAGAGATGCTCCAGTCTCCTCATCATCCTCGTAGCCCTCCGCTGGACTCTCTCCAGTAGCTCCTCATCTTTATTGAAGTGGGGAGCCCAGAACTGGACAGAGTACTAACCAGATGGGGCCTCACTAGGGCAGAGGTTCCTCCCCAGGTGCAGGACCCTGCACTTGCCCTTGTTGAATTTCATCACATTCCTCTCTGCCCAACTCTCCAGCCTGTCCAGGTCTCGCTGAATGGCAGTACAGCCTGCTAGTGTATCCACCACTCCTCCCAGCTCTGCATCATCAGCAAACTTGCTGTGGGTACTAATTCTTCACCCAGGTCATTGATGAAGAAGTTAAACAAGAGTGGGCCCAGTACTGACCCCAGGGGGACACCACTAGTTACCGGCCTCCAGCTACACTCAGTGCCGCTGATGATAACCCTCTGAGTTTGGCCATTCATCCAGTTCTCAATCCATCCCACCGACCACTCATCCAGCCCACACTTCCTGAGCTTCCCTAGGAGGACGTTATGGGAGAGTGTTGAAGGCCTTGCTGAAGTCGAGGTAGACAACATCCACTACTCAAGAGTTTGCTTTGTCAACCTGGAGCTTTGTTATATTCCATATCAGTTAATTACAACAATCGAAATCGCCACTACTTTCAAGAAAAGTTACCTCATGATTTGAAATGAAAACAGGAAGTGACAGACACAATGAATTTTGTCAAGTGTTAACGTATAACTTAGGCCTAAGAACCAACTTCTCAGAGGAAAGCTGTCTTCATCACTTATGATACACTCAAATATTTTTGAATGACATCAGCATCACTTTAAGATGAAGTCAAAACTAGCTTGGTAACTAAAGCCAGCTGCTTCAGTTTATATGAACAAACCTACACGATACACAATGTACTTCTTAGTACACCCAAGACAAGGCTACCAAAGGATTTATTAAAAAAAAAAAATCTTTCTACAGTATCCATTTTTATGCATACTAGGCTACAGACAAAAAACATATTCGAGGAACAGATTTTTATGAAATGTTACATTCCATATTTTAACTCACTGTCATAGCACTTGCCTATGGAAAGTTCAAAAAGGGATTTACTGTTTTTAGTTCAGACACCGCATGCATGCTCACCTCAGCATGAAAGTGTACTGATTTGCTGTCAGCAAGCTGCAGATGAGATGTGAGTTCTGCTATCCTTGCCATGTAATGGTTTTTTATCAGGTCTTCACGAGATTCAACATCTGGAGTCTGGCAAAGCAAAAATTTAAGCAGACAGATATTTATGTTTAGTAGACTGAATACTTGCATCAGAATGTTGTCCTCTACACTGACTTCTCTTCTTCCCTCATGAGACCTGGATGCTCCACCCAAAACACATTAAATTCCCCAAAGACAACAAACAAATTACAGCAGGTCACTCTACAATTTGTCACTCTGATGGTGATTCCTAGCATCAGACTCCCCTAAAGGACAAAGAGCTGACCGAAGATGCAAGAAGTCAGCTTGATTTAATATATCAAGTCTCTGATGAAGACAAAAATCGACTGCAGAAATAGACTGCTTTCACCTACATAGAAACTTGCTGACTTATCCCAACAAGGAAGAATTCCTCTGCATAACTAAATTTCAGAGGCTCACAACAGTCAGAACTATTTCTTATGTTGCATATTCCAGAAGTTTGTTTAGACATTTGAACTTTAAAAACAACAAAATGAAACTCACCAGCTGAAGTTACAGAGTAACCCACCAGAGGCAACTTTCCCATGACTTGCCATTACCTTCAAGTTCAGCACTATAGAGTAGCTTTTAAGAACTTGTATCAGTTATTATCTGGTTCCCATCCCCTTTTTAATTATATTTTCAGAAGAAAAATGGGAGTAAACTAAAATACACATCAGCTCCCTGCAGTGTCAGAAAAGGGAAAGCACTGAATCCTACTCTGCAAAGTTCCTGCTGGAGCAAATGTTACACTATAGCAGTGCTAAATAAAGAGTTAACTCTTAGTCTGACAGCTGGTTCTAAGTTTCTCTCAGTGTGACCTCTGGTTTGGGATAACTAGTACTTCAGCGTCAAACACCAGGCACTTGCAGCTTGAGCTCTTCTTCCTCAGGAGTTAAGAATTGAGGCTTGGAATGCACATAGGGTTACTGAAGTACAAACAGACCAACACCTTCCTTGGATTACAGAGAACAGACCTGGACCACAGCTTACACTGCTCCAAACGGCTTACATGAATAAAAGATAACAGTTCACTAAACAGAAGAAAATTAAGAAATCCATGTATTTCTTGAGACTTGAACATACAGCATACAGACTACGTGTGACTCATGCCATTACCCTACAGTATTCTTGGTAAGCAGACCTTTGGAATAAGTTTAACAGAACCAGAGTTGAAGTATTTACCAGATGTACTCTGATAATGTTCAAAACAGATTACCTCTTCATTATCAGTAGTTGTAGTCAACATTCCAATCTAGAACAAGGAAGAAAATACACTTAAGTGAGAACTGCAAAAAACAAGATACCATAGCTGCAAGTCATCTCTGCTTCAGTCATAGAAGGACTTTAATTTAAAAAATATTTTGTAACAGTTAAAACTAAAACAAAATTTAAGTACTTCCACCTGTAACATAGGCAAGGGTAATATTATACACAAATGCTTTAAGCAGAATTAAAGCTGACACCAACTCTCCAAATATGAAATATCCTTTGCCTTATGATGTACACAGGGAACAAGCCACAAAAGCAACAAGATGCAGCTAGCTCGTATGATTATGCAACTGCTTGAGTAAATGAAGCTATTCAGAGGTATGTTAGAACACTGAAACATTACTTCTCATGTTCAAGAGCAAGGAAACCCATCTTGGATTTCCTGAGCACCTTCTGAATTCCTTTCTTTTCAGTTTGACTAGTAAATTGCACAACAGGTCAGTGTGCAGCACTGACAGAACTCTAGCAGAGGGGTGCATGCAAATAGCTAGTTTCATGGAAGAATGTCTTTGCAGAGTCAAGAGGGGTTTTTTTTTTATGACCTCAACAGGACTAAATATTTAGGTTTACGAGAAACATACAATATGTTCACTTGTGAGTTACATTTAGCATTGTAGCTCGAAAAAGTCACTCTCCTCAAACTCCTAGCAGATCAAGGGGGAGGGGGGAAAAGAAAAAAGGAAGAATTCTATCAAGTGCTGATCCAAGTAGATTATTTCTTACAGACAACATCTCTGTTAATACCACTTTGGAAATGGTAATTCACAGGAAAGGCCAGCTTCTTAATTACTAGCAGTAAACAGGAAAGACATTTACGCAAAATAGAAGAGCACAGACAGAACGCATGCCACACCCAAATACATTTTTTGAGCCCAAGTTGTATGCACCTATGAAAGTTACATAAAATTTAGTGCTCCAGAGAGCACTGAAAACTTGAATGGCTTCCTCAAGTTAAAATCAAGTTATACTGCACTGATGCGCAGGAAGTCTTTCAACCCATTTAAAAACACTAATTACCTACTTCCATTTGCTTTAACTTACGCACAGATGAAAAAAGTATTGGAAACTCAGAGCTGACCCAATATATACACAACTCACAAGACTTCCTGACTACAGACTCAGGAAAATCTAGAAGTTAAGTATCCAGTATTTCCCCTTCAGTCATACAAATACAGAACTACATAAACGTCTCCATGATACTAAAGAAACCATAGTCTCAAAAGCCAAGAAGTTCCAAACTCTGCCAAAAGTATTAGCAACCAGCTTTGCAAATACAAGGAGACCAAGTGTGAATGCTTTTCACCACAGTCAAAAAGCTTTCATTATTAGCGTTCCACTGATCAAACAGTACCTCTACTAAAGAAAGTGGATTTTTCTCTACTGAAGGAAAAAGCTCACTTACCAGACTAGTACTTCTAGCAGGTTCCTTCAGACTTTTTTCTATGGCTTCCTTCTTTTGTTCAGCTACATTTGGCAACACAGAACGCTCTTGTATAGTTTCAGTTAAATGTCCACTAAGAGAGTTCTTCAGTTTTTGGTTTTCTTTCTCTAGCTTTATTTTAGCTAGCTGGGCCTCCAACATCCAGTGTTCTTTTTCTTGTTCAAGTTTTGCAATTTTCTCCAAACTCTGCTGGACCTTCAGGAGGGAAAGTTTACAGTCCAGGTTATTGAACACAGGGAAAAACGTCACACACAGGAAATGTTTGAAGACAGTATTAATCAAATCAGCAAGCTAATGAATAATGCAGCACGTAAAAAACTACTGATTTGAGCTGTATGCTTAACTGTGCTCATGTGTCAAAAATGACCATATTAGTTAATTAGCCTGAAACATGCATCATAAAGTTACAGCTCATAGAAATGGCAACACTGTATTAGGTGAGAAATCTAAGCAGGGAAAAATTTTATGAAAACTTGAAAGATGTGTGCCGGGCACTAGCATTATCTTGTTCTATGCTAGAAAGACAATCAATCCTCTCTTCCCAGCTGCCCCACCTCACACAGAGAGAAGAACCCACGCATCCAGATAAGAAATCAGCTATAGAACAGTACACATCATATCACTCCACAAATTTCTGTTGAAATTCATCTCATTCCTACTATTCAACACTATTTGATAGTACTTTACCTTCATAAAATACACTATTATGCATGTTAGTAAAATTATACCAAAATACCTGTTGTGCAAGACCTTCTCTACTTTCTGTGGAACTCAAAAGAACTCTGCGATTGGCCAAAGCCTCTTCATAAGGCACTGAATCTGCACAAGGCTGCAGAAGAATAAGAGAAACCTTAAAACATGTTTCACAGTAGATCAGAATATGTATTCTACATTTGCTTATTGCCCTCCTTACTTTTATTAAAGGCAAGAAAAACATGTTCCAAGCATTTCCTAGCCAGCAGAAAAAAATGGCTTGAGCTCATACGAAATACTGCCCAAATGCACACCCTGATTAAAAAGTACTCGGAAAACTCCAGGTGTTACCTAATGATCAACTGCATCTTAAGGTCCACTTTACAGACATTGCAGTAAAGTGGTTTAATGATTACTGTTAATCACACCATCACTTAATTGTTAATTTTAATGGAGACAGATCTGGCAGTGTTCAATCCTTTGGTTCAGCACATTTTCTCCAGCATACCTTCTTTTCAGCTGCTTTTATTTCCTGTTGCTCTCCACCATCTTCCAGTGAATGCAAATATAGGAATATGATGTCATTCACTCCATAATACTGGTGAATATGGGAGGAAATTTAAATAAGCAGCTACCCTCTCCTCCTTGGAGCCTTGGCACAGAAATAATTAGTGGAAATGGGTAACTGCAGAATTGACACATACCCACAGTTATGAGAGCAACTATGCTCTCTGTATTTTTCAATAGCATTATTGCCTTCAGGGTTCCATTTCCTCAGCCAAAGATTTTCATTCAGAGAATCTCAACCATTCCAAATACTGAAAATCCTTAGTTTGTATTCTCTTTGGCATAAAACTGTGCTTTCTCTGTGCAACCATGCTAGCTGAACAAACCTTCTTTAAAGACTTCATGTAAGCAACCGCCTTTTTCTTGTACTGCAGCATACACTCAGCTGAAAGCGGGTTAATGAACTCTGTTCCTCCTTTAGGTCCATAGCTCAGCGAAGCAGTGAAGTGATCCAAGTTGTTACTAAAGAATGAGGCAATCTAGACACATCAAGAGAAGTCACTTTTTGAATTAAGCTGACCAGAAAGATTCGTGAAAGCAATCACTCATTTTAGAAAGGCAAGTATTTGGTGCAACGGGACTTCACAACACGAAATTCAAACCAGCTACAGGCTCTTTCACGTAACTTAGAACTTACTAATGCAAAGCATCCTCTCTGAAGTATCTACTTTTATCACCTATTCAGTTGTTTTCTCTTGTAGCCTGAAAATACCTTAGAACAAACCTGATACTACAGATCATTAATATCAGAGGTACACCTAGAATTTCCAAATCATTCAACTAAGATTCCCCCCCTCCCCAGAAAACCTGCACAAGTTAGGGCATTACACTGAGATGAAAGTATCCATTACCTTCCCCACTCCATTTGTTAAAGTCACAAGAGAGGATAAAATACAGTCATTTGTAGTTACGAGTTTCTGTGTGGCAGTTGGAACGTCTTGCTCTAAAGTAGCTTTCTGACTGTAGTGCTTGGAAGTGTCTAGAAAAAACACACATTTATGTCAAATTATGTTTTTTGTCTGCTTAACCAACAACTTTCAAATCCAGCTTATGACCTCAGGTTTCAAATGCTTTTCCCCTTTTTAAGCAGGTTTTATAAAAGTTCTGGACACTCTTAGTTCTTTAGTAGAACTGCCTTAGACAACTGTTTATGATCATAAGGAACAGACATTATGCCTGTTACACAAGGCAGGATAAATGTGTATACTTAAGTGTACTCTGTGTCCTAAAAATCATAGCTATATAGCAGATCCAAGCTCACACTAAACTAGCATTTCATTTCACAAGTACACTTCCAACTTCCGTATGTTTACATCAGGACACTAAAGGTAGAATTTTTAGTCATGTTCAATATCTGAGTATTAAGCTTACATGACTTAAAAGGGAAGAGTATTTTAGCTCTGTCAGAGCAAATCTAAATGACTGCCAGAAATTTGCAATGCTACTTCCTGTATTCTAAAAGTCTTTCGGGCAAATTTAACAGAACAGTCTTCAGAGAGAAAAAAACCACAAACCTTTTTAAAGTCATTCACAAGAATGTCTTAGCTTAAATACACTAATTTCAAAAGCACCAAAATTTAAAAAAAATCAAGTATTTATGTAAGAACAAACATTCACAACTTAGCCTAATTAAAAATAAGTAATTATTTTACAAGTGAACACTTCACACTTATTCTACAATAACCTACAGAATGGAGAAATCCCAAGCCATCACCATCAGAAGTTACAGTTTAAGGCAAGCTTAAGCACTTGGAAATTCATTTGGGTTGGGAAAGAAAGGAGGACAGAAGTCACAAGTCAAGCATTCTGAAGTACAGGAGTGTGAGGTGTTAAGCACGGTATTTCTGTTGCTAGCTAATGAATTCTACTGGCAGTTTTCTTCAGCACTTTGCTTTTACTTTTTTTAGTTGGGTTGTTTTTATATTATAGCAGCTATATTAAGAGGTATAAGGTATTTATCAATAAACTTATCTATGTTGCAAAACTCTTGGTTTAGGGTCTCATTTGGTTTGTGGTACAATCTCCAACAGTATCTTTTTTTTTAAAAAAGAGAAACAGAGGGAAACTGCAAAATGGGGCCGGCTATTGACATTATTACTAAAAGACTAGAAAAAACAAAAAACCATTTTGTTTAAAATTATAAAAGCCTAGTGTTTAAACAGCTGACTAGCATCAAAACAATTCAATGGATTATCTTCTCCCTGGGAACAGCTACACGATGCAGAAACTCTAGGACACACAAACATCAGCATTTTAAAACTCCAAGTTCTAACCAAACATCATTTCACTCAAAACACAACATATCCACGTCCTTCCAATAAATGAAAGGTAAGCCACTTTCAAGGAGGAAGTTCAATTTCAAAAGGAAATCAGACTTCTTTGTAAGCTTTGGTTATATGTTCATGTTAAAAATAGCAATCAACCTAAACACTGTTAAGGAAAAATTCCACTTTGAAGGTACTAGGTCAACAGCATGGAAGCAGAGGAAAATATGTATAGTTAATGGCATTCCATTCTGTATGCTAGATTCACTAGAGCAATGAAGTTCAGTAACTAAAGCGACGCTGCTCAGGAAGATCTAGAACGCCACAATTAAATATTCCAGCAACTTCTAAGAACAGATCTAATGGAATGGAGGAGTGAAAAAACATGCATGCATGTCCAAAACAAGTAGCTAGCAGGTTTAGTTTCTTACCTTAGCTTGTAAAGGCAAGACAAACCAGACTTATCACATATTATACATTTAACATTGTTACAGAGAGAGTACATGTGTGCTATGTTAAACAGACAAATACCACTATTCCTGTATTCTCACCTTTTAAAATGTCATGAAATCCATGAAGACTTGTAGCAATGTTTGTAAACACCAAGTTGTAATTTGTCCTAAGAAGGCCTTCTGGTTTTGTACCTAAAAGTACCATATAGAAAGGAGAAAAAGAACAATTCAACCACGAATGAAAAAAGTTAGCTTTGAAAAATCATCCAATTTCTACCTACTAGAAACATTTGCATGGGGTATGGTCTTAGAACTTGAGAATCATAACAGATTCATTGACATTTCAATTCCCCTTCCTTTAATAATATATATACACACCAAATTTGACCAGAGTAGGCAAACTTCCCAGTTCCCCAAATTTCATTCAGATTTTACAAATATCAACTCTTTTGGTCTTAAAAAGCAATTATGCACAGAGAAAGATTTATATGCTCACTGTTGTAGGAAGGACCATCTGGATCCTTCTAAAATAATCTGAAGATACACAATAACTGTTTCCTCTTATTATTTACAGTATGCACCCGGATATTATTTCCCCACACACATACACACCAAGGTTTTACCAGATTTTATTTAGTCATTACCATAAGAGTTATCGTTTAATAGAACAGGAGGAGCTCGAAAGTGATAATTAGTAATGAAATGTAGCTTATTAACAATTTCATGATTAAGAAATGACAAAAGCCTACAGTCATTTCTTCTCCTCCTACAGTTAACTACTACTATCTAAAATGTGGTACTTGTGACTGCTTGGTATTTCCAGGTCTGTATCATGCCCATGTGATTTTTTGTGTGTTTTTCTTTCAATGGTGAGTGTACAGCACACTCCATCTCCCAGACTGGATCAAAGAGGGCCCAATACAACAGAGCATACTGCAGAACTCACATGCCCCATAGTTTCGACTGTACCTAAAGAGTAGCATTAACCTTGTTTTGCTCTTTCACAGAAGTGTGATTTTTTGTGTGTTTTTCTTTCAATGGTGAGATTTTGGGGCGTTTGTTTTGTTTTGCGTTTTTTTTTGTTTTGGTTTGTTTTTTTAGGGTTTTTTTGTTTCGATTTGGTTTTTTTGTTTTGTTTTTTTAAAAAAAAAAGTTCTAAAAGGGAAGCTATACTTTCCAGTCAACGTGGTCAGAGCCAAAACTGGCACTTACTTGGTAACGCAAGAAGACTAACGTATGTATGTAGCTTCTCGAAGACTGCAGTCAGCCTTTTCATGTCTCTGTGTAGCTCCATATTTCTAGCTCTTAGAGCAGCTGTGCAAAGAGAAGACTCACACTCTTCTTCCAAACTAGGAATATATGAATTATTTTTTTTTTAAAAAGTGAGCAATTATCTTAAAAAAATAAGTTCATGAGTTTTGGAGTAGATGAGTAGAGTACATCCCCAGTCCAAAGCAACAATAGACTAGGAATTTATTTCAGAAATGTTAACATATCAGAGTAACTTCGCAGTACTTGAAAATACTGTGCACATGAACTATTCCCACTCTTATAAGCTTCACTCACAAGCCAGGAATGGTTTTCACTCACAGTAAAGAACTGACTGCATCATTTTAAAGACTTTTTCCTCTACTACATACAAACTACTTTTTGCTCCCTAAGGAGCAGGAGAACAGGTACAAAGGAGGCATAAAACAAGCTTTCTCTTCTTCCTTAATCCAAAACCTCCTTTTAAGTAGTCCTTTGCACTAATAATTCACCTCCCTTCAACCTGCTCAGGGATAGAGATTTTCACCGCAGAAGGAATGTGCATCTCGCCAAGTTTTACTACATTACCATATTTACTGCATGATAAATGATCTTCAGGCAGGCTCAAGAAATTAACAGTTTCAGTGTATCATACCTGAATAGTATCAATGCTATTGAATATCATTAGGAAACATTAAAAACCTGTGCAGCTTTTGTTAAAGTCTCATCTGTGAGGGGGAAGAAAGGCTTTAAAACACATGGGTTTAGCTCTAACGCCAAGCTGAAAAAAATATGCATAACCTAACGGCTCAAAAACCAGCAGGCAAAAAAAAAGTTCTGCCTTTTAAGCCAGAGTGCTTTAAGGACTGACTTAATATTTGTGTTGTAGATGTTGACAATGCTGCATGCCTGACACTCACTGTGCCTTTAATTTGATCTATCAAATCAAAAGTACCTTTTTAACTGATAGGGAAGAATCTTTCTTAAAAAGCATAAGTAGGAAGCTAAATGTTCTGAGAAGGCCTTCAATTTCACAGCTGTTTCCTGGAAGGAAAAACAACACATAAGTATTTTTGTTCTGTAAAAACCTTTTCCAACGCTAAAAATAAGAAATCTTACCAGGACTGTCACGGTATCTTCTGTAATACTCTCAAACAAGTGCAGCATTCCTTCCTCCAGAGGGCGAACATATGCAGCGTTTTCATGAAGATACTGTGAGAACTGAGCACAGAGAGATTTTAAAATGGTGCTTGCTGAAAGCTCCCGCAAACTGTTTCAAGTTAACAATTGAACAGGCCACTTTAGCAAAGTGCCTGTCATCTTAAATGATCCCCAGAACATCAGTAATAATATGTAACAGTCAAATGACGTACAGCAACCTCTTCTACAGGACACACAAACACACACCTTGAGGGAAAATGAGAAATAGTGAAGACTATATAGGAAGCCCAGGCAAAATCACATCTCAGGCCTTGCCACAGCAGCTTACCTCATTTAAACTGCCATGCACAGCACACCAAACCCCTGCTTTGTAAGTTTAAACATTCTTGCATTCCTTGCTCAACTCCATCAAATTAAGGCTAGATCCATGCACCATTAAGCCACCGGAATAAACTGCCCTACCTTCCCTCCCATCTGTTTGCTTATCGGCCCTTGCCCTGTGCATCAGCACAAACATTTGCACAGCTATGCTGTGCGAAGTATTGAACTAAACCGAGTTGAAACTGAGAGCAAGAGATACATTTTAATCTTTGTCTGTACCCAATCCGGTTTTCAACATGGGTCAAAGCATGCTTACACCAATGCAAAAGATGGAGCAGTAACTGATCAGAGGGAAAAGTCTTACTTTCAAGAACTATGACAGCTTTGGGCAATTACGAAACTTTGGCCTCATAGGACTGCCTGACTTGGCTAAAAATTGCTTAAGTAAATTCTATGGCTAATTTCACCTTCAAAAAAGTACACCTGAGAACAAATGTGTTTACTCTTACACGCAAAACATAACAGTACCATCAGCTTTCAATTCTGATACCAGAGTATTTCAAAAAGCTTTTCCACAAATTGACATAGGTAGTTAAAAGTGATCTTCATTTTTATTTTGCCCCACAGAAAGACACCTTCACCTTTGATTATTTATACTACAACAGCAGCTAAAGATCCCAGGAAACTAGGGTATGGGAAGTTTTAATTATTTCTTGTATTATGACAGTGCAGAAACACAGTGTTAACAAGAAAAGAGAGATGCCAAGCTCTCATTCATGCATGCAGAAATCTGGATGGAATTATGGAAAAATCCTAAACTTCAGGAGGAAAAAGTAACACATGCAGAATGCTCCTGGACTTGTGTTGCAAGAGAGGACTGGAGTTATCTGGCATGATGCTGAAGACCCAGCAGAACCCAGCAATCCAACACTTAAAGAGAAAAGGAATACTTGAACCTGGAAGGGAATTGTCCACATCTACTTTGAGTGTTTGGTGGGGAAAATAGCTTGAAAGCGCCAGACAAGACCTGGAGTTGGGGAAAAATAGATCAGTGCAAGTGTGCTAAGCCACTACCTGACACTTGTCTCACTTTCTGCACTGCACTAAGGGGAGGTTTTCAAACCACGCTGTGGAGGAGCTAAATCACACTGAGAACACTTGCCGAGCAAATAGATAAATTAATAAAAAATACAGGAGCAACAGCAGCTTCAGCGAGTGGTAAGAGATGCTTCACTGCTGGAAAAATCACAGCACAAGCCCTGAGAGGCAATACGCACTGAGGCAATTAGGTCATGAATACACAATGCGGCAGACTACAACAGACATGATTATGACAACAAACAAAGCCTGAACTACTGAATCAGAGTCAATTATCAGAAAAGGAGAATCCAATTACAGTTCTGATTAAGTTGTGTGTTTCAGCTGTGTGAAAGCACTTCTCTGCTGAAAAACAACAGTGTTAACTACAATGCTAACAAAAAAAATGCGCGAGAAGTGATGTCTAAGAAACCTAATTTTACTCCCTTAGCTTAAACTGCCTTAGTGCCTGTAGAACCCCATCACCACACTGGGCCACAAACAAGGAGGCATTTCCTGCCCCAAAGAATTTGGAAGATCACAAAGCCACATAGTTCTCACAAGAAGGATGTGCCATTTTGAGTATGTTTGGTGGCAGGAGCAAGAAAATGTTGTCCTCAAACTAAGATCTATGCTGAATCTCTGTAAACGTGTATTCTTGATTCAAATAGTTGAAACAACTGAGAAGGTAGAGTGGGATTTCTCTAGTGGATTAACACCTTCACAAGCATATTTGTTGCCTGCGAAGAGATTAAAGGAGATCTTCATAAGAACAAGAAAGTTTTGTTAAAAGTTCACATCGCTACTACATGCACTGCAGCCATTTGATGAATGCACGTCCATCTCTGCACCTGGTCTGAGCCCTGCAAACTACCAAACTGAAGTTACAGTCTGAATCAGAAAATGCTCTCACCCAGCAACTGAAATGCACAGAGGCCCACTTGTACTATGAAGTCAACAACACTGATGTTAAAGCACTTTGATTCTAAAGCATACATACATGCATGCATCCCCACACAAATCCTTGTGCACAAAGTTCTGTTCCATGCTTCATGGCACAGAAAGTCAAAAGATGCAGCTTAACAACTCAATGATACTCTCAGAAAACTCGTCCTGTGGAGTTGCACGGAGATAGGTCAGATTTCTCGTAATAATTTCAACATGCTTTTACTGACTTGAAGCTTCAGAACACTTACAGGAAAGGTCTTTGCACAAATAGCCCAAAATCAGATGATAAAGTTGGTATTTGACAAGAGAATAGAGTACAGTTTCTCTCCTTTGTAAGTCTACCTTACATCCAGTTTATTTCACATTACAGTTAAACACTTTAAACACAAGATCTTCTGTCTCAATTTCTCCCATGCTACAGTGCATTAACAAAGACAAGCATCTATTTAGTAGTGCCATATTTGTGTCTTTTAGAATAAGTCAGCTGAACTTTTGACAACTGCACTTTGATTTAGCACTTAAATCAAAGCCTTGATTTGAGTATCATATTGCTCTTGTAGCAGAGGCACAGAAGAGGATTCTCTGAGGCTACACTTTCACCCACATTCAGAGAAATCATCCAGTAGAAAAGACTTCTCAGGCAGGAGAGGCTGCCCCTCAGGAACACACTCATAGCATTCCAGTAAAGGTGGTAGAAGTTTGCACAACTACGATTATTCACTACTGAAAGTCTACATAATTGAATATACTTGTAGCTGAAATTTGTAAGCTTTACCTTCTGATTTAATGGTGATATAGTGTCTGTTGCAGAATCAATGGGAAAGATCTGTACCTTCTGCTCAGTGTATGTATGGAAGTTCAAAAGAGCTGTTACAAGTTCTTGAACAAAAGCCAGTGCCTGGCCAGCAAGGTCCCGCAATTTCAGCTGTAACGACAGTTATATTTGACATGTGCTTATTTAAATATGAGAAAAATTCTGTCTGGATACAAAAAATTGCTATCAGTGATTTCTTTCTTGTTAATAGTTCAGCCTAAAATACACAGCAGCAATTATGCTTAATTTTTTAAGGTTATGAATAAACTACAATGCCACTCAGAAGGGCATGTTTTTCAATGACAAAGTACATTTTTATTTCATACAGCAGGTGATGTTTTGCCTTTGCTGCATTTCTCAAACTACAGGCCACAAGACCTCTTAAAGGTCAGCACAATTACAGAAACCATCTTTGACATTAAAATTTCTAAAGAGAAATAGACTAATTGCTGACAATAGCTCAGTTCTTTCAGTGTGGTGATAGTGAGAAACTGGTAACACCTGGTTGTGAGGAAACTTCACTTTAGTTAGTAAAAACAAGTGAGGTTCTCTCCCAGAATAAAAAGTGTCTGCTTCTCTAACTAGTAACACTCAATTCTTACTCTCCCACCTGGAGAGAACTGAGCTGCTGCTGCTGCTCATGAATAAGGCTGTTCTGCAGCTTTAGTGCAGTAGGAAGGTATCGAAGAAATGAACACAAAATGGAACATTCTGAAAAAACAAAGGCAACAGAGAAGAAAACCACACTGTTGTGATACATGGAGAAGAGAGTAAGGTCAAAGTGACATTTCAGTTAAGAAAGAGAGATGCACTCCTAATGCTTCAACACAGTGTTAAATTAAGTGAATCTTGATTATGGATCAGGGATGGCAGTGATTAATAAAGTAATTAATGCAGTCATTATACTCAGTTTGTGTATTTTAATTAGCTATGCAAGGAAGGAAAACAGACAATATTACTGCTTTGCTGTCCTTTACACTGCAGCCTGTGCTAATACACCAGCATTTTGCCTCCACTGGCAAAGCCAGTCATAAAAATCTGTTCTGGAACATCTTCAAGACTGCAGATCTTGAAGCATGAGGCTGGCTGACGTAGAGCTAGCAGAAAATGGTAAAGGAAGAAACTCTACACATAGTTATTTAGACTTTTCTTCGTACTCAGCAACAGGCTGACTTAAGGCTAGTTCCATCACAAAACTAGAGAGTAGGTCTCCTGTTCTCAAAGCAGACAGAATTAGAAACAAGGTATCTTTATAGGCACTTCTGAAGAAAGGAGAAAGCCACTATTTGAAGTCTTTCTACAGTGGCATCTGAATGCACTAACTTCAAGGTTCACGACATGCCACACAAGCAAAGTGAAAAAACACTGAGTGCTGTGGAGCCCGTACTCAGTGGTAGCAAAACAGGGAAACATTGACTGCATCAAGGTATCTGATGTACCACTGTAAAAAGGTTTAATACATTTAGCTATTCATAGAAAACTAATGCTCATTTCCAAATACTGAGTAAACCACATTCCCAAGGAAATTTGTGAAATTACTATAATAAACAAAAACTGTTTCTTTTTTAAAAATAACTTTTAAATTAATAAGGGTGATTTGGCTGCAAGTAAGAGGTGTTTCGGCAAGAAGTATCCCACAAACTGCAAGTGAACCATGCAGAGTTCTCAAAGATACATGATTTATTCCTTAAAAGGATTATGACTAGTGACAAGTAATATTAACTAGTATGGTACTCTAGCATACACACCAATGTATAGTTTACAAATGCAAACGTTCTTAGGAGCTCAAGTGATGTGACTGAAGAAGCTAAGTTTGAGGGCAAAGGAATTTAAGATAACAAAACTACCTTCTTGCAACAAAAAGCTTAAGACCTCCAAACTAACGTAGTTTTAACCAACTTCAAAAGTGAAATGTTCAAGTTCTAATTTACTGCAGGTTTGCATAGTAAAAGAATATTTTTATAAGAGAAATATTAAACTTTTTTGCCATTAGAAAGGCATGCCCGAGTTAATACCTACAGTGATCATCAGCCAGTAGTCAATGGATTAGCTGTCGTGAAGAGAGGTGAGCAGACAACTTGAACCCTCACCATAAGAACAATACAGACTACCTTTAAAAAGCACAGAGGCTCTGTGAACAGAAATTTCCTTGGAATATCCCTATAGTAGTAAGACATACTATCTTTTGCCATTTCGGGTCACTAAAATGAATAGTTTTATTCATTATCTGTGTACAAAGTTGCATCTTTATATATGAAGTCACAAAAACTGCTCACCTGATATCTTCTGTTGTGTAACGGTACATTGAGAGCATTGTATCGATTAGATCCTACAGGACAAAAAGAGTTACATGTACTTGTTAATTCATGGGGTTTTTTTAAGAGACACTTACTGGTAAATAGTTGATTTTTTTAAAATACAAAATTTCATTGCAGTAATATTACTGTTCATGCAAGTAAAGTTAACTAAAAAGATACAAACAATTGGCTTCAATAAAGTTGGCCTAAACATACTCACTTTAGAACTGTTACTGTGGCTAGGTGGAGAAAAAGCACTTCCACACTTGCCTCAGACTGTAAATCAAATTTAACCATCTGAACATGCTGAATTTGATAGGTACGAACAGAATCCTCTTGCCCAAAAGAACAGTATTCATCACTAACAAGAGTGAAAAATCTTTAAAAAAACCCACAACCTTGAACTCAAGATGATCTTCAAATTTCAGTTACATTCCAGGGACTGTCAAAGATGATGGACATATTTTTCAATGACTTGCTTGATTAAAAAAGCTCCTGTATGTACTTGATTTATTGATAATTTAGAATCTGATGTACTCTCCACATATTTCAGCATTCAGTTGCAGAGCAACTAGAATGACGACTCATTACAAGCAGGCACAATTTTTAAAGAGGTGAAGAGATATTTGTACCTAGAGAACAGCTCACAAAATCTTGTAGATTTAAAAGGGATCACATCCATTCTCAATTAAATGGAATAACCATTTTAGTTTAAAATTTAAAAACAAAGGAAATTTACAGCTTCTTACTCCTTTTTTATCATTCATATTTGGCAATTAACACACAGGAAGAGGTAGTGGAATTCACAACAAAAACCACTGTCCAAAATTACCAAATTCTACTCATAAGGAAAATGCTTCAGGAAATATTTTTCTACTCTTAAAATCATGCTTAGCAGTCAACAAGTCATTTGATTGTTACTGAAACTGAAGTCAGCTGCTAGCTACACTTAAAACCAACCACGGAGCCTATAGCAAGACATTTGGAATCCACAGCAGACAAACATTTCCTGACTTTCATTCTTCTGCCACAAGATCTGTCCACTATTTGCAACATTTTCTACACAAGCAAAACCATTATGCTATGGCATAAACAAATCATTTGCATCCATGTTCTCACTAAAACGACAGCCATCTGTAAAAAAATCAGCTAAAGAAGCCAGAGAAGTAGAAACAGGCAGCAGATGCAAGGCAAAGTGATCTTTGGAACACAAAAGAAGTGCAAAGGGTATCAACTCAAGGCACCAACACCTAAGTATAACATGCTGTATGAGAGTCAGCATTTCCTAAAGAGAACATGATGTGGTGTTTCCAAGTCAAGACTCACTGGACTGCCAACCCAGTTGAGAACTCGGAAGGCTCACCCCTGCAGCATCCCGCCGGATCAGCTTCTGGAGAACCTACAGCTATTCCAAACACTGATATCAAGTTTCAAACTGAATGAAAAATGCAAAAGCTAGTAATAAAACCCACCGGAAATTCAACAGCCTGTTTTCTCTGCTCCTTCTCTCTACTTTCAGCTTTTTCACTATGCCAGCTCCTCCTAAGACTCCTTGCCAGAGAAGTACAGACTGCTGCCTGTTCAAGTACAACCTCATGTTCAAGCTATTTACAACAGCATCCAGCACACAGCACTGACATACTAACTGATTCCAGTACCAAAGCAATGCAAAGACTAGCACTTCATGGTATCTTCTGCACTTCTATTTATCTAGTAGCAGTTGGAAAGGAAGCAGAAAAAAAAAGTTGCTTCAGGTAAAATTCCTCTGATTCAAAAGGATTGAGGTTTTTTTCCTAAAAAGATAAAAAAGTCTGAGACAAGCCAGATAAGAACTAGTCCAGGTGTTCTCTGATCGGAGATGAGACATGCTGATGGACTTCCCACTAATAGTAAGTGTAGATCATTATTGATATAATGCCTCATTAAGTAAACAACTCTGCAGCCACTAGTGTACCCGCATCTTAACTTACTGTAACTCTTGAATACCCCCTGCAAAACATAATACTCTGTGATGAATAACTAAAGAAATCTTTGTGGAGAAACCAGTAAATTGACAGTGTTCCTCCATCTTTTACAATATGCTGTCAACGCTAAGCAAGACGAGGCAAATTACTCAAAGGCCTTCAAAAGTCTTAATTTTCACTGGAGACATGTATGAATTTAAAAAATTGGTATTTTAAGATCACTAAACAAGGTGATGTCTAGTATCACGAATACTTATTACAATTACCTCCAAGTGTCTGTTCAGATGTCCAACATTTCTTACAACTAATGCATTTTAATTCATAAAGATCACCTCCTCCAGATGGATACCCCAAATTAAACAAGAACCCAGACGAAGGCAATACGTACTTGTGTCATTAAAAGGTACTTTTTCATTGATTATGCACAGAGATTCTTCCAGTCTACTGCCCAAAGCTGCTTGAAGATTCTTTAACTGTTGCTGGCTAAATAACAAAAAGATAAACGAAAAACCACACACATACACATTGTAAACCTTTAAAATTTAATCTGTATCACCACCACCGGAGCTCACCATAAGGATCCCTTGAGTGT